CTACACTAGGGAACGCTGCAAGCTCGGTACCGCCTAAATTTCCGGGTTACTGTTTCCGTTGTATTTTAAAGCCATTTGGCATCATTGTGTTTTGAGATTCTAGCAAACAATGTATTTGATTACTTACTTGTGTTTACAATGCTAAAAGTGTTAACACTAATGTGAGATGGTGCACAGCTTGCAACAAGAACAAACAGTAATAAACTTATGGAAAGAGGCCCAAGACTGCCAAAAAAGCGAGTTATTCAAAATCTAGCAACCATGTCACCTTTTTAACAATATATCTCTAAATAACTAAAACAAATTTTCACTTCAAACTCTCCAGAATTACATAATAACATTAATATCTTATGAAATACGGCAGATTTGAGCTCAGAAATAATCTAATTTATTTCTTTTATTGAAAGCAAAATTATCCGTTTGAAAACATCGCCTCGCAGAATAAGCTGTAGTAAGTAGCTGCAAACTTTCTAACCGGAACTAGAGCAGGCATACAGCTCGAGATTGTTATTGTTTACATTTCTACAGAAAACACCATCCATTGATGTTTGTCGTCGGATTGATTTTCATATCCTGCCTATGTACGCGTTTCAAGACGTCACAAAATACTTTTCCTTCTTCAGCATTCATATTTATATTAAAATTACTGTCAAGCCAGTAATTATACGTTAATAATAAAAAGAATATGAAAATGTTTTAAATTATTATTATGTAAATACATTAAAAATACCTGCTAGTGAAAATGAAAATAAAAACAGCAGTGGTCGCCATAGCAACGCCTGCAATGACGACGCATGCGCACTGTTTACTATTACTCTTGAACACAGTTGAAAAGTGTGTATATGTCGTCAAATCCAAACCAAGACCCATTTCGCCATTTGGGTAATAAACAAAAATGACTTAAACTTCTGTTTTCGCATTTTTAGTCGCCTGTGGCATCCTTGTATTTATAATTTAAATGTTGCGAAGTTCATATAGGATTTGAATTGGCATCATTTCTGCAATATAAGCGTGGGCACAGCTAGGTGAATTTTAGTAAAGTGTTGACAAGCATTTCTTGGGTATTTTTTTTTCTTCAAACGTCTAACGTTTATAACAACAAGTCCTTAACCATCAATTTTTTTAAGGCGAAAATTAACGAAATTGAGCCACATTTATGCAAAATAGTCACCTAAAAGATCAACAAAAACATGTATATGTGCCAACAAAATCACGAATTCCACTTACGTCATATGGTATTTCATATGTAACCCGATATTATATATTTAAAAAATCAATAATAATTCACTAAGTTTTCTAGCAAAATTATTTTTGCATGAATTTTGGGACACTCTGAAAATGCAAAACGTAAAATAAAGCTAAGAATTTTAATTTGAAAAAAAATTCGTATCCAGTTGACATATTTAAAAGGTTTTGTTTGAAATTTAATTTATCAAGAATTTTTCGACCGATTTCGCTCAAATCTTATATTTTTCCATATAAATTTACATTCTTTAAAATGATGCAAAAATTGTATACCTTACAATTCAAATTTTTTTGAGCATTCTAAATAAATTAATAAAAAATAATAAATATGTGCTTAAAGTTACTTTCTGAATGGAATTATCTTTGAAATTTTATAATTGTGAGTAAACATTTTCAAATTCGCTTAAAAATTCTCGAGATATAGAGAAATACGCAAGAAGTAAAATTAGCATGAATGGTTCCAAACTTTGGAGCGCTCTCTTGACCAAACTATTGGGACCATTTTTTCAGATTGCCATTACCCCCTAAATTTTGGGGGTCAGATTTTCGAATCCGACGATAAAAAAAGGTATGATTATTCAAAGAAAATACGTTTTTGTGTCTGATTTCGTAACTTAAAATATCGTGCGACCTAATGATTATATTTGAGATTATCCTCTCGAGCCATTAAGTCATAGAGCGTGAAATTCTGATCATTAGATCAAAAGTTATTCAGCATGGTTCCTTATCTTTGGCACATCAACTTAGACAACCTCCTTTATCACAGCCTAATTTTTCAATGCGCTCTCTCGTAGTAAAAAGGCTCTGATTTTTACAGTTACGATACTTGTTATATTAAAAATTTGCAGCACTAAATGTTGTGAACTAATTTAGCTTCTAAAACCTACAATAGCGATATTAGCTATTTAAGTTATTAAATGCCAAAAAGTTGTACATCTTCGTAAAAAGAAAAAAAAGAAAGAACGATTAGTTTTTTTCGCTAAAAAGTTGCTTGTATTTCAATGCTTCTGAGTTTCTTGATCTTTCGGAGGCTTTGCCTTCACATAAAATAACGAATATAATGCAATTTAAATAACTGCGAGAGTTTATAACAGTTTCGTTTAGATCCCTTTTTTGCCTATATTTAACGAGCGTCATCTATGTTGATTATGAAAATGGCGTAATTCGTCATTCTGAAAAAATTTCACAATATTTTGTTAATGAAAAACAGTTGTGACCTAATTTGCGAATATTAAACTTTTCTGAGCTCATAAAAATGTGTAAAAGTTGACAATTATGTTCATTAATATTTATGATTTTCATCCAGGTGGAAAAATCTCGCCAAATTGGTGATTTTTAATAAAGTTTAACAATATTTTTAAATAAAATTTATTTGCCTGTTCCAAAGCTAGAAAATTCTTTACGGCAAGATGGCATTATTTAGAATTATAGCATCGCCTTTAAGCAGTGGATTTGTTTATTTTGCTTCTCGAAAGAGTTTCGAAAATCACTCTGAAGATTCGAACTTTGGTGTCGTTAGTTAATATCCTGTGTTTGGTGAAAAAATTAAAATGAAAAAGCGAGAAGAAAAAAAACGAGATGCAACTAGATGCGACCAATATGATTTCGCCACAGGGTGAAGGGAAACATCTCTGAGTGTAGTAAATGCAACCGTAATCTGGCCAGTTTTCAAGTTGCTTGCCATCACTTTCTTTAACTATAGGTATTCTAGCTTCAACAACTTTGCCAAATTAAGTAGATGTAAATTATAGAATGCTTTTATGTTATTTATACGCAATTTACGTAAATAAATTTTGAAGCTTTTCAGTGAATCGAACTCTTGATTTAATTTGTCCTGATCCTAAATTTTTTTAGCCTGGTTTGTGTAATCAACGTTTAAATGTTAAATTTGCTTACTTGTACTTTATATAATAAGAGAGTCATGTTTTGAATTTTGAGGCCATTTAGTTTGTTCATTGAATGTAAAATATCGACAACATCTTTATACCTCCCACGAGTGATCAGCCAACTTGGAGATTCTGGAAGTATCCTAAAAAATTAATAATGTAAAAATGTTTTAAAATTTAAGAACTATGAAGGACTTTTAACAAACTATTTAATTAAATCTAAACAATAGAAATAGTTTAGATATAATACAATATTAATTTATTTGTTATATAATATTTAAAGAATAAATTTGTTACTAAATATTAACTAAAAAAGGATTTTAATTCAGGGTGATAACTTAAGGGAAGATATGTAGAAGTATACTCGAGGCAAAGATAGTCTTTTTGCCTTTCAAAGGTCACGAAAGGCTGCTCAAAAAAGTGAATACTATTTATATTTAAAAAAATAATTATAAATATGAATGATTGAGGTAAGAGAGTGTAAAAAAATAGTCTGTAGTTTTCTAAGGTTGAGGTCAAAGCTAAAAAAGAATATTATCAATTAGTGTTTTTTTCCTTTTTCGGTCCTGCACTCCCTTATGTAAGCTCGGGGGTCACCCTTGAAAAGCCAATGAGGGAAACGAGGGGTAGGACAACTTAAAAGTAGACCAATGAAAAAAATTAAGGGTTGTTCAAAATTCAACCCCTCAAGAAACCATTGGCCGATAGAAGGAGCAAGTAAAGGACAACACGTGGTCGAAGGGGTTCGCGACACCCTCGTGTGAACGGGGAAGCGAGGTCAAAAAGGCTAAAGGTTAAAAAAGACGATTACCGTCCGGTTCGCAATTAAAAGTACACAGCCGTGTGAGAAAAAGAAAAAAAGTCACGCGGTGAAGGGGACAAGACATTAAAAACCTATAAAACTATCTAATACTCACGGTTGACCATCGGATGCAGCTGCAACTAAAAAAAGGGTCCAAAATCCTCCCACGCAGGTGTTAGGAAGAGGGGGCCAAGATGATGGGTGCAGCGCATATCAGATTACCGCACGTGCAAAAAAATAAGATTGGGAAATATCACATGAGGGGAGTGCATGACCGAAAAAGGAAAAAAACACTAATTGATAATATAAATAAATTACAATTGCATAAAAAAATTATAAAATACAATAAATCTATAATAGTTAATAATTAAAAAAAATGTAGTAAATAAACATGTACATTATAAATTGATAAATTTTTCAAATGTAAACTGAATGTTAAATGAAGTTAAAAGCAGTAATTCGTAAATAATAAATTAAGAGTTAAGATAATAAAAGTAAAGCAAATTAAGAAAACAAAATTAAAGCAAATACTTGTGATAATTAACATTATCACAGTTTGTAATAAAACACTATCACTCACTCAGGGGATATAACGAGCGCTTCCCAATGAGGTATACCGGTCTCGAATTCCAGTACTTCTAGATAAGAATTATGCACCCGGCTGGCACCAATCACAGTGCTAACGTAAAATATTCTCAGTGGTAGACAAATAATGGGTTAAAATCTCCTTGCCGTCGGGCTTATAGGGCTGGAAGTTTTCATGATTTTCCTTTCGATGTAAACGCAAGTGCGTTTTAGTTCATTCAAAAAGTCCTTCACGAAGGCTAGTTTGTCTCAAAGCTTGATCCAGGAGTTTCTGGGTAGGGTTTAAAATTACAACGGAGTTGAACATTGCTAGTCGTAATCTCAGAATTGGGTCGGCTGCTCTACGCCGGATATAAAATAAAATACAAAAAATAATACCATTTGAAACGTAGAATTTCTGTTCGATTCCATTTGGTTCGAAACTTAACAAGATGCAAGGAGACTAACGAATAATGCGTGAAGAAAAACTTAAAACTTACCAGAATGCTATAATGAAAATAAGAAGGGCGCTGCATGAGCTTATGGACGTCAAATATACCCATGATCTTGTGGCGTAAGCAAGGAAAGGAACAAGGCAACTACCAGCACACCAACATTTAGTAGAAATCTCATTTACCCTCACTCTCAGTTTTGGATGAACTAGTTCCATAACTATTCGAAAAGAAATTGTAATGAATGATATTATTAATTTAATAAAATGCTGAAAAAATGCTATAGGTGGGTAAAAAATTCTAATGATAATGGAAATAATGAAATAAAATTTTGAAAGCCGGCGTATAACAAATAGAAAAAATGAGCAAGTAATTTTGTTTTTGCTGTTAGGCATAAAGCGAAAAACTTTCGAAAGATATGGAGAGAATTTTCTACAGTTGAAGAAAAGTGATTTGGAGGTGATTAAAAAGTTATGCGCTTAATATTTTTCGTTTTAGTTCGGACCAGATCAAACTACTTTCTACATTTTTAGTCTACAACATTTAAGTGGTCCAAAATCAAAAACAAACTTTATTTATTTTTATTATGCATAAATTTTTTTTAAAAAAAATGTGGGAAGAATTCTCTGATTTATCGAAGAATGATTGGAAAGTGACGTGCTATACCATTTTTATTTTAGGCCTGATTAAAATATTTTCTTTTAAAGTCGTACTAAAATAATAAATTAAAAACGGTGAAAACTCGTTTTTTAAGTGAACTAAAACCGAAAAAATAATTTTCTTTTTGTTAGGCCAAAAACGAAAAACTTTCCAGAGATGTGGGAAGAATTCTCTGCTCTGTAGAAGAGTGAATCGGGGTGATTGATTAAAAAAAAAGAAGAAAAAAATGCTCCCTGCGATTTTGCTTTCTACTTGATAAAAACAAGATTATTAGCTCATTTGTTTTAGCCTTACAAAAAATGAAGTTCTAAAATTTAGATCATTTGTAAACTCTTTAAACATAATCATCTTTCAAAATTCACGTTTACATACTTATGAAATAGCCAGAAGTATATACTGTGGCTAAAGCCATGCCTTCTACTATTCGAAGCAGGATGCATAAAAAGAAAACAGGAACAAGGGTGGATCCAACGTCACTTGCAGCTACCAAAGCAACAGATGCAAGAAATGTCACTCTTCGACCATACCTATAAAGTGAAGACATTACAAGTTTAATATTTTAACCAAGAATATGCATTCTGATGAACATTACTCATGAAGAGCTTAGTGGATGAAGTAGATTATTGATATTTTTCAGGGGTGATAAGGGATATTAATCAGGGAAATTAATATAAAGTAGCCTAATCAATAAGTGTTTGCTTAATGAAACGGAATTGTTTGGCAAAAGTAATCCACATTAGTTTTGAGTATGGCTGCAAGATTTATATTCAAAATTAAGTAATGATAAATAAAATATGGCAAATAATTATTTGCCCAGCCTTCTAATAAGTAATCATAAAATAGTTCGGATACATCACTTTTTTTCTTACTCTGATCTGAAAATGTTACTTCCATGATTCGTCAACTCAGCTCTTCAATAGTAATAAAAAAAATTTTCAGTGGATCATTGGTAAAGATATTCACGGGAATTATTCTGCATATACCAAATTCATGTGGGAAATATTCAGCATATTCCCTTCAAACTTGGAATTTTGTTTTTAAAAGAATAGATTATTGAGACCATGTAAAACATTTTATACTTTACAAGTCGTTTTTTTTTTGTTCCTTAATAAGTTAAATTGTAATGGTAAAATTTCTTTTTAATCTAAATATCAAAATATTTTCAATAATTTGAATGAAGCCTCTAACATTCATCAAATATGTCTTGAAAATGATAAGTATGTAATGCCTTTAAAAATTTCGAAAACATCTTTTATATTAAAATTTTTTTTTTTTGTAAAAAGAAAGTTATAGTTCATAACTAACGTTTAAAAATTTAGTAAAAATAAGATAATTATTAATTAATAATTTATAAATAAAATGAAATGCAACTTAATACAATATTTAGAATAGTAAAGAATTCATCAATTTTTAGTTACAATTATCAAAAAAAAAAATCATAATTGCATTTCATTATTAAATAATTTGATGCGTAGTTTGTTGTAGTAGGCTTAGCGACATGATTCGGCAGCAATTCGCTCGAAGATGTCATTGACGAAAGAGTTCATAATGACAAAGAGTTCATAAGACATGGCTTCGCCAAATTCTTTAAATTGAGAGATTTCTCTATTTGTTCGAAAGGAAATTTTTATACCTTGAAAAACTGTTCAGCATCAACATTTGTTATTGGATGATATTTAGAATAACAAATTCATTGCGAAATTTATACTAATTTGTAGAGAAAAAAGGAAGAACAAATAATTGACAAGGAAAATACACTAAAAATGAAAAATATCTTTCAAAATTCATAAATGATTAAAAAAGGTAAAAAAAATCGACAAGGTATAAAAAATGATCGAAAAAAAAGCCATGAATAATGCTTAAAATAGAAAAAAGCAATCAAATATGTCAACTAAAGCTCTCAGTAGATGACAGATGACTTCTAAAAAGACTGTCATCAGTAAATGACAGTCTTTTTAGAAGTATTATGATTGAGGATATTATTTATTATACAAAGAGACTCTGTTGATTGCTCTGGTAATATAAGTGGGTCTTGATTTGAGCAATAAGAATATATCAAATTATTATTCAAAATCATAAAGGTTTCTAAATGAAGATAGGGTATACGTGTAATGCTTTGTCTTAAATATTTGGAATTCTAATCAGAGTGTTGAGTTTTCTTCCGTCAAAATCATTCTACACCGCTTTTCAGCTACGAACTTTGACTCCTGAGAATGATTTCATATTTTGAAAAATTACATTAATATAGTTCATGATCTTTGAATCACCCCATTCTTTCCTAATATTTAGAAATTTATTTCAACTTAATTTCTATATTTTGGCTACCTAGGGTTCTTACCCTACTTTCCCCCCACCTTTTTTATCCCCATTTCTTTGTACGATTATCTCGTTAAGTCATGTCAATTTGCTATTTTAGGTAAAACGACTTTTTCGTCATTGGCACTTATTTATCTCATGTTTTCTTCGGTCATTTTATTTTTCGTCACTTAGGAAGGTTTTTATTAAAATAATAAATATAAAAAAAACTGAAGCTACAGTATGTACAGTTTTGAGATACTATTTGTGCTTTTTCACACCTCATTCTCAAAAGTATAAATTGGTTATAGTGCTCCACTAGTCTTAGAAAAATGTAATGGCGGTAATAAAAAAGAGATAAACCTTTATCATTTAATATTTTTGTGACGAATACTGTATGTCATTTTGTAAAAAGAAATTTAAACTTTGTCTAAACAGACCTGAAAATATTAAATTGGTATCTTGAATTTTCTATCAGTGTTGAATTTTTCTACGAACATTGAGAGTATTTGAGACAAAATATTACCTCCATGAAAGAGCAGAAAACAGGGGAGTACCTATGAGTACACCTTGAAACATATTACTAAGTATGAGAGGAACATAATGAGAATCTTTACACACTAAGTTCCACTGAAAGGGAAAAAAAAGGTTAATTGGCAAAGAGAAATATTTTTCGCTTAACGAATATTACTTTACCACAAATCATTTAGATATCAACTTTCTTTTTCTTCTTGGCACTGCAGTATAAAGCAGGCCAGTCTAAACGAGTTTTTTTCCCAACGGTGTCTCTCAGATATTAGTAATTAATGTTGAGAAATCTAAACGAAAAATTTATATAAATGCTCTTTCAAAATCTTTTTCTTATGTATAAGGTTCAAAAAATTTGAGAAAGTTAGAAAAGCATTTCAAAATGTCAAAAAAGCTGTCAAAACCTAAAATTATGAAATATTTACAGAGAAAAAAAGTGTTTTTACTTTTTAAAAGGATATTGAGAGTGAAACCAAACTAATGAGATACACAAAACGGTTTTCAATACAACTAGTTGAAAAGAAGGAGCTCTAAATTCTTTGATAAAGTTTTATTCCGCTAGAAAAACCTGTAATTGAATAATTTACGACTGTTTCATTAAAATATGTATTTCCGTATTTATATTTGTCTGGGATTTTTTTCTATTTTTTTTTCAGAAGCAAATGCTTATGTTGCATTGTTCAAACTCTGACAAATTGCTGTACTAGCCAAATTCTTGAACTGAAATCGTTTTATCCCTATATATAACCGTTGTTAAAATCTAAAATATGAGACTTGGGTTTATTTTTGTCGTCACACTAGAGTTCCATAAATGGGCTATTGGTGATGGTTTTAGATACATTCACGTATGAATTCATATAGGCACCAGTATTGTTATCATCGCTGTAGTGAAAATTCGATGGGTGACCAACCGACCTACTCATCACTCAGACCAGTTCCCCTTCTGGCTCTGAAGCTGTCTAAGGCATTACTTAAAGGATTTCCAACAAACTAGTTCAAGCATTCTTTTTCGGATTTACCGTATTTCTTTATTTTCTCCTTTTCTTCTCTCTCTTTTGACTGTCTTTATACTTTTTATTGTATTTTATAACAGTCGTGGAACAACTGACCCATTTTTGGGGTTTACGACTGATAATGTTCAACTCCGTAGCCTTGAACCCAATCCAGAAGACAATGAAACTCCTGGATCAAGTATTGGGAGAAATTTGCTTCCGTGGAGGACTTTTTGAAAGAACTAGCCCGCATGGAGAGGAAACCACGAAAACCTTTCACGGTTAGCCTGACGTCAAAAGGATCACGATCCGTCTACCACTGAGGATATTTTACGTCAGTACTGTGGTCGGAGCGAGCCATATGCGGAATTCGTATCCACCCGCCATCGCTGGTACTCAAGCCCATATGTCAAATATGTAATTGCAACATATCACTTTTCAAGCTTGTATTTGAGCTCGTTACTGTTATAACAATAATAAGTTTCTGATTTTAAATCACCAAAACACGGTCGGACGAAGTATACAATCCAGTTAGACACCCAGCCCTTACGACATGAAATCGAATGCCGAATTTCTAGTAGTGTGGTAGAAGAAACTCTACCCGCCATACCACCTAAACAGTAGGAAAATAAATAAAAGATATTTATCTAGCTCTTTTGTGATAGATCCATATGAGAGCCAAAACTTATTCTGGAATAAAATGTTTTAAAGTGAATATTCTCACTATACTTTTCTGATGACAGTAAGTCATATTCTTTATTTACACTAAAGCAGTAATTTAAAGCTTCCATGCCATGCGGGACCATGGCGACTGCTGATCGTTCTACCCTGATGATGTACCAAAATAACAAAAATTCTTCAGTTTTCAATATAAAGTAATGTAAAGATATCAATTCATTAAAAAAAAATGGTTCCCACAGTCCGTTTGTTATTTCCAGAATGTATCATTCTGAATAAAAATGTTAAGAACTCCTTTATCTAAAGACACGGTTCCCCGTAGAACATCGAAGTTAAGCATCACTGGCAATTGACAATGAGTGGGGTTGGCGACCACTTTTATCAGCATGCAAAGAGATCGAGGGTTTGCGGAATGGATCAACACCTCCTAGAAAAAGGAAGGCCTCAGCACGGATCAATTTAGTAGTCCGATGTGACGAAGTTAACTGCGCAGTTGATGAAAAATAAGAAAGATGTCATTACGTTTGGGATACTAAGCTGCGCAGTGGTTGAAAATACGAAATATGTCATTACGTTTGGACTACTAAAGGATATTTATGGTAACCCGTGCTGAGGCCTACTCTTTTCCAGGAGGTGTTGAATGGATCCTCGCTAAATTGTTCTATTGTAAAGTGCTCTACTTCGCCAGCAAGTCGTCTGACTACTAAAACTTCAGAGCCATCTTTCTTTTGATGATCAAAATTGTGATGAAATGTCTTCGGATCATCCTCAGAAAGTTCTCAGAGACAGTCATCAATAGCCCATTGTGCAGTTCTAGTGCGGCGTAAATTAAATAACTACTAAAGTATACCAGAAGCATAAATTACTTACTCGAGTAACTGCCGTATTGTCATAGTGGGTTTTATCATAATGCCACCCATTATTACATAGTTTTGTTGGCGCACTTTTGTTTATTTTCCAGTTGCCTGTTAGTGCCATGCTTGTGTAATTTACGTCGTACATAAAACAGGATTTGCTCGAAGGCGATACAATCGCTCGTTGAAAACTAATATTTAAGTTAGAATGCGCAACTTCGGGTACGTAACACCAGTGAATTGGTATGCTTGTTAAAAATATGACAGGCACTGAAAAAAAGGGAAAAAGTGTATAAGCTGGTACCAGAAATAAATATATAAGACGGTTTTGGTAATATCCGCTATCTCCAACATCTTTTAAAATATCCGCAAACTCCATACGATTTTCTTTTAGAAATCTGGCCATACTTCTTTTCCTAGTTGCCAGAGGTGCGTATTCTACTATTTAGTGCATACTTTCTTTATTAATTGTTTAAAAATGTAATAAAAAATAAATTTAAAACAAACGTATACTTTAAAATATAAGTTGCACTAAGAGATAGGTTTTTATGCTTGCCTTTTAGTAGTATCATGCTTGTAACTCATTTTCACTATTCGTGATCGCAATGCTCTAATACGCCATCTGGGGAGAAGATCGGTCCCATTGCTTGATCATTCCCCCTTTCTTCTTCTCAGTTGTATAAGAATGTACTACTATATTTTCCTCTTTCTTGATATTTTTCGTACTTAACTGTCACAAATATTTTTTAAAATTTACGCGACTCCTACTTCTGGATCTATGTTCACTGTTAGTTTTCAGTTCCATATAATTTCCTAACTTAAAAGTATTTAATTAATTTGAAAATCAAGGCAGAAACTAATGAACTTTCTTCTTCTATGACTCTCCACACGCTATGGTGAAAGCATGCTAAGTGTTGAGAATCGATAGGATATATTACCCATTGGTAAAATAGGTCTTGGTTTGGATTTAGTGACGTTGTAGGAACATCATATGTCACATGACTATTCATATTACTTTTATGAGAGTTGCGAATGGCAACAGATCAAAAAATAATAATAATAAAAAATGAGTGTTCTAAAAAATGTCTGCTGATCATTTTTATCCTGTAACTCTGTTGCGTACAACTGGTGACCCGGACGTGACATATATGGGAGGAGTTACAGGATAAAAATGATCAGCAGACATTTTTTAGAACACTCTGTTGCGTACAACGTCAGCGCTTTTCAACTACTATAATCTAAGGCTCCTATACTATCATTCTAATTCAGGGGCTCTACTGTAATCTACCCTTACTATAATCAAGAGTATAATAAACAGTGCGCATGCGTAGCTATGGCGACCGCTACCGTTTGATTAATTTTTTTAGAATTCTTTCTTTAACTTTTCGTTTTGTCATGCCTTAAGTTGGTGAATTTATTTTTAAAATAGAGAGATCCCATAAATACTTCTTGAGTTATGAATAAAAGAGAATTTCATTATTTGAGCGATATTTTTGTTTTTATTGTTTTAATTAAAAACCGGAAATTCTAACTTACAGTTCAAACTGGATCGTTTTCAATACTAATTGAGATGAATATCACAAATTAAAAGGAGGGTCCAAACTGATTGACACGGTCCCAAAAGTCAGAGTTGAAGCAAGGATGAAAAAAACGATGCCAAGGCCTAAATTTATTGAGACTGAAAAAGCCAAAGCCAAATATATAGAATTTTTTTTTTTTTTTTTTATAAACTCAAAGTAACATAATGAACTTTTTTAATCAATAATGCATGAGTAACTTATAAGGAAACGACATATTTGTTTTCAACAATAAAAATCAATACTCATTAAAATCAGGTATTGTATTGATATCATTAAAAAACCAACTTAAATTTTTATACAAATATGCCATAACCAGTAAAAGTTAATATTTCAACAATAGAAAAATCTAAACTTAAAAGAACATAACAAGACATTGATAAATAAGAACTAACTTACATTTCGTTAAAAATATACAATATCCAATGAAAGTCAATAAAGCATAGTTATAATGTGAGCACTCTTGTTAATTAAAAAGTGGTCGAAAATTTGACAGACGATAAGTTCCTATTGCCAATAATTACGTAATAAATTCTGCTTGTAGTGGTCACAATGATTTGTAAATAGTATTGTAATCTAACGTTAAGCTTTAGTTAAATTTGAGAGCTCTAGACAGTATAAAAGGATCGAAGAGTTCAATTGACGAAATTTTTTTTTGTTGGTAATATTATGATAAGTTCTGCTGATAGCGGCAAGGAAATCATTGAATCTTGCATTGACATTGGGCGTGGAGCATTGAGTGCTCTAGCTAGTCGGAAAGTAATTTTAATATCGACCGCAAGATTCCACCAGCACAAATATTCATCAATCGAGCTTCCATCGCAAAGACATCAATATTCCAGTGAGATGACAAAAATAAAAAAAGCTAATTTATTAAAATAAAATTTAAAAAATTTATTTATATCAAGATAAAAATATTTGTTTAAATGATGAAAATATGTTAATAAAAAAACACTTTCACCCATCTAATTTTTTATAAGGTTATCAATAATTAATTTTTTCAATTACAATATTT